TTAATTTTAAGAGCAAAACCTTTCCCAAAATTATGAATAAATTTATCACTGCGATTCTTTTGATGGGAAAAGACTAACAAGACAGCCACACAAGACAGTATTATTTTGTGTTGGTCGAGACGAGATGCTGAGGATTTGGAGCTGATCTTTTGTTTCTGCTCAAAGACAAATGGTATAAAATTTATATGCATGCTTCTGTCCTGACAGCAAAGGGCTTCAGCACGACTCTCGCTGAGAGCAAATGGCTCTTGGGGATGCTGCTCTCTGAAGTCCGTGGGCGTGAAATGGTCTCTCGCAATTCATCTCCAGTTAATAGCAAGACTACAGCGTCTCTTGTTTTTTTTTAAGTTCTTTTATCCCCGCCTGAAGCTGCCTGTGTTGCCATTGGAGCCGGGAGGGTGTGGTGTGATGGTTTTCTCCCCTCAGCAGACGTCGGGGCGAGCTGGAGGCCCTGTGGCAAGCGGGGCTGATGTCATCCCACCCAGCAGGGGCCAATGAACGCCTGCAGCCCCCGCCGGCACACACGGACACACGGACAGCATCTCAATGCCTCGGGCTCTGTGCAGCTCTGTGGGGCCTGGCAAATGGCAGCGGGAACCAACGGGACGGCTCCTTCCAATGGGCATCTCAGGGCTGGAACACTGTGGGGCCATGGTCATGTAGGAAAACAGCAGCGAAAAACAAAAAGTAGTTTGGTTTAAGAAAGAAGGTATTATAGACCCAAGGGAGATAAAGCTTCTGTTTTCATTTCTGTGTGACGTGATAGCCCTGGAGTGGGGGCCAGCCATGTGCAGGGGGCACCTATGGGGAAAACACAGAACTGGGACACCAAGAGGAGCCAGCTGGCCCTTTCTGCCAGCACCAGGCTGGTGGGGAGAGCTCAAATCACTGGCATTGGTTGCTTTCTTCCTTTTAATGTGCCCATGTGGTAAATGTAGCTTAGTAATGAAATAACATCACAAAAAGATGAGTATATGCCTAATAATACCCCAATATAATCAGCCACAGCTTGGTCTGCCTTTTACATGGCTCCTCCTCACCTGCAGTGGTTGTGCAGATGTTTCATTGCCTTCTTCACACTCTTTACTGCCTCAGGAAATCAGACTCTGATGCTCAGGTACATTTCCACCTCTGTAGCTCCTTTGCTCACAACCTGATGGAGTTGGGACTCTCAACAGTGCTAGTTCCTTTCAAATTATTCAAACTAAGGTACCAGTGTGGAGTAGGCTTCTTGTGGGAAATTTGGAGCTAATCCCTGAATAAGGTTAATGAAAATATTTCCATCACACATCAGTTGTAGTAGAAGTCATTTACACTTGAGAGGAAGTATCAGCTAATTTTAAATCAATGAAAGTGTGAGTAAAAAATTGGCATAGGTAACTCAGAAGATAAGCTTGGAAAAGTCATAATTTCCTGAAAAATGATAGCTCATTTGTTTTTTTTATTATTGCAGTCTAGGTAAGGAATCAGTACATATAAATATTCTTTGTAAGTTTAAAACAGTGGTTTGTTGGACACCCTCTCTTTTCTAGGCACCTTAGGGATCCTGTTCAGCACAGGCTTGTGCTGTTAACCCAGTTATCCCACACGGGCACCCCAAGGCTGGGGAATATTGTGAGGGGTGTGTGGCCATTGTCACTCAACACACACAGCAAAGTGAAGCCATCTCCAGTCTAGTGACAAGCACAAACTATATTTTACCCACACTGGATGATCACCATTTATAAATAAATATAAAATAAAAATAATTACGAAAAAAAAAGTGGTCTAAAGTCTTGTGTGGGGAGGGGGTGAAGGGACAGAGATTTAAGGCTAACAGGGTTTTCAGCTATGTTCCTACTGGTAAATTAACCTTTCCAAAACTTTCAGTAATTGCTTGAGGCCATAGAAAGGTACCTTCTGTCAGATCTTCTCTCTTTAACTCCTAGGGACAACTTTTGTGGGCTCTGATAGAAATGCATTATCATTCAACTTCATGTGTATGTCTGCATGAGCTCACCACAGGGAAGAGCATCCTTCCCTGAGCAAAACAGCTTTTACAGCTGCTGCTGCTTTTGAGTTGCATTAAGGTTCTAGCTGGAAGAAGTCAGACCAAGCAATATGATTTCTGTTAGGTCTGTTAAACCAACACAGCCAGGCCACTGCCAGACTGACTGGAAGAGCAGCAGGATGTAAAGGGAGAATCTATGCCTCCACTGCCTCCCAGTCTATTAAAATGAGCCACAAACACAATACTGATGTGGTAAGTCAGGCAATATGCAAATGGCTGCATGTCCCAGAAACCCTAATCCTATCAAGAATGCAGAAGATGTTAATTTGGCCATCTTTCACAGCTCATAAATCTATGTGTAGCAAAGCCAGGCTGGCAGATGTCATCCCCTAGCACTTCTTTGAGGCTGGCAGTCTCGGCTTAGATGCCCGATCATGCCTCAGTAAAGACCAATGAAGAGCATTGTTTGTGTGGCCTGGGGGCAGCTTCTCACATTTTGCTACAATAGCAGAAAACAGTGGGAAATGTGAATGACTGATTGGCAGAACTGGTGGTCTTGGTTGTCCTGCTTTCCACATAGGGAGCTACAGATTTCACATGCATTTTTCATCAGCAGCAAGCAGATTTGTCCACCTTGTTCTCAACAGTTAGTGGTGTATATTCCCCAACTTAAGTTTTTGAATCCTAAACTATAAATCCAAGCTGGACACAGTTCCTTTTCTCTCAGGCAGATACTCCTTACTTCAAACTACTTAAAAGGGCAAACAGCTTTATTAAGATGTGATCTTGCTCCTAAGATTTAACTAATATTTCTATCTAGGATAGAAATATTCTATTTCAAAGCAAGCAAAGGTCTGTAAATAAAAATCTCTATAGCAATATACTCATTTTATCCTTCTTAAATACAAGCTTTGAAATTACCTGTTGCAATATAGCTTCTTTAATATCAGCCAGAATTAATCTAATTTTTACAATGAGGATGGTAAAATGGTAGCACAGATTGCTCAGAGGGGTGGTAGATCACCCATCCCTGGAAATATTCAACTTGGACAGGGCTCTGAGTAACCTGATGACATAGTTGAAGATGTCCCTGCTCATCTGGGACTGGGGTTTGGACTAGAGGATTTTTAAGGGTCCCTTCCTACCCTACTATTCTAGGATTCTGTAATAATTTGCTTTTAAAAGGTGTATACTGAAAACACCACAGCAGAATTTTTTGTGTGAAGTTACCTGGGACCAAGGTGGATGACCTCACTTTTATGAACTGAAATGTCTTTCAGCTTCTCAGTGGATATTGTGACTATCACAGAACTCCATGTCAAATCACTTTATTACAGCACTGGGCTGAAAAAAGAAACAAGACAAAATTATAAAGAGTGCTGTTAGAGAAGCAGGGATTTCCAGCAATAAAAATGGCACGTGACTGTGTGCTATTACAGGTACAGACATCCCCATGGAAACTGCTGTTCATTTAGGATGTGTGCATTCCTGTCACAAGCCACCCACATCACTTCATTTTAGATCATGAAGCTGCAGCCCCACAGAACAGATTTCTCTGCTTGTTCAGAGGGTCTAGAGAGGGGCAGGCTCTAACTGAGAAGCTGCTTAATGCTGGCAAATCCTTGCTCTCTGCAACAAGGGAGAAGGTGCAAAAGGCAGCCACAGTTAAATAATTCAGATGGGTCTAAAGAGACAGAATGCTGCAAAGAAGAAGAAACCAAAATGAAGTCATTTTTAAAACCTAAGGACATAATGAATTTGTTTGGGAAATCCTGGTTGCATTTCACCATTAGAATTAGATACAACAGGGGAGAATGCATTGTGTCTGATGAAGAAATGATAACTATTCCAACTCAATAACCTAAAATCATTATTGCTAAATTATGGTATAAATATAATTCTGATTAATTTTCTGGACACTAACAGAATTAAGAGGCAAATGTGTGTTTACAGGTATGAGATAATTCATTGTGTTAAAATTAGTAGGTCAGTGAGTCCAAACACATTATTTTAAGTAGGTAAAAGCTGCTGAACCACAAACCCCACAAAATAAGTACTGTAAATTCTGTTCAGTGGAGGAGACATATTAAACATTATTTTGTAGTCTGTTTCTTTTTTAAAAGGAAAACATGTTATTTATTGATATTGCAGTAAAACATCTGTAATACATAACAATGCACCCTATCACACAATAATATCTAAGCTATTAATTGTACAAAGTCACACCATTTTTCTTTCTTCTTTACAAAATACTAAACACAGCTGAAACTTGACATATGAAATATTTAACTCATACATTTTGTTCAACTGCTTTACTGAACTAGAATTTCTGAGAGAGGGAAGTCTCAGAAGACAAAGAGGAGGCATACCTAAACCCAAGAGTTTATGGACTATTTTTATATGACTCCTTGGCTTTTAAAATTTGCCACAAGGTTCTCATATCTCTTGCAAAGTATTGCCATGATTTCAGTATTTTTGCTGGACTATGTCCCTACAGCTGACACATGGCACTCACATGAATAAAACTATCGAAAACTTTAAAGCATGTCCCTGAATAAATATATTTACACTAAGTGTCAAATTTTCCTTCTAACTAAAACATTCCACTTAACTGCTCCAGGTCTGAAACTACTATTATTTCTTTCTGCATTTTATAAATATCTGTTCTTTTTATTAGTGTTTCCAAATTTATAATTGACTAAGAACACTTTAAATAATAGGTGGTATTTCAGAAGTGCATTGGAATATGGTTTAATATACAATTACATAAAAAAGCAGGTTTCCATATTTGTCCAGTCCTATCCATAATGGGTTATTTCCATTAGAATTCCCCTGGGACTTATCTGCTCTGTGCTAATATTGAGAATTGCTTGAAATGAGCTAGCTCATCATTCTGCCTCTCCACCTCATTTTGAGTCTGATTATACAAATGCCAAGAGGCTTTTAAAGCTGCCCAAAATGCTTACATGGCATATATACGTAGTATGTTGGATAGAAGGTTCACTGTAAGTTTTTTTTTTTATTTCAGAAATTCAGCAATCTGACACACTGACAAAAAAGAGAAGTGTGTTTCTCTAATTTTTCCTCCTTATCAAGACACTTGGTGCCTTTCACTCTAATTTAGTGTGGATGATTTCCTTGACCTTGTGGTGTAACACTGACCTGATTTTCTGTTAATGTAGTCGCCACCACTCTGAGATGCTCAGTCAATTGCACCCACAACCCTGCTCCCTTCCTCTTTTTAAAACCTCTTTTTTTTCTTAAGGTCTGTTCTGCACCTTCAGACATCCATCTCTCTAGTAATGTGCTAAATGGTTCTCCATTCAGAGATTTACTCCCAATAGGAGAATGTTTTCTTAAAACCTATCATTTTGCAGTTTCTAGTGCATTTTCACATTCCTAATCTTTTGAAATAAGCTTTAACATTACCTCATTTAGTTTGAAGTCAGATGTATTTCACTGTCTGATTACCTGGTTTAGAATCTTTGCATTAAAAAACACCTTTGGCACAATGTGCTTCAGGGGCCTCATGTCATTACTGGAACTATGCTGCTGTCTATACAAATTGCACTTATTTATGTGGTTTTTAATTATTTCTAAATGTTGAAGTTTTAGTACCCAACTGCTAAGTGTTTTTTTTCCCTAAATACTGAATTAAGACTTTGTTCAACAGAAACAAGTGCTCTAATGAATACTTATTATTCAAAGTAAACCTCTTTAATTTCAAATCTAATTAGTTTATCTCATGTTTGCTATGCTTCAGTAAAATACTTTCAAATAGGGAACTATGATAAGTCATCATATGCAGGTTTATTTATTTAAAGATGACACTTTTGCACTGCTTAGTAGCTAACTATGTCATTAATTGAAACAATACTTAATGTGACTGCTGTCAGCTTCTACTTTGACTAAAAAGCTATTAGATACAATATCCGCCTCAGCTGGGTCATAAATTTACATAGACTAATTGATTTACTGTTACTAATTTTTGCAACAAAATCAGTTTCTACCTTTCACAGAATCAGTATGATTGGAAAAGCCCTCAAAGATTGAGTCCAAACTATTTGCTTAATTTATTAACCTGCTTAATTTACTTACCAGCTTCTTTATCAGGCTAGTAAGAAATTCTATTTCTGTACACATCTATTAAGCTATGATGCGCACAGCCCCAGAAAATTGAATAGATTTCTTGTGAAAGAAATAAATATGAATTAATAAATTTATTGTGAAATAAGCTTCCAAATGCATTGCTGGCAAAGTTACCTTTTGAAGAGGAGCTGGACAGCACAAAGCCAGACATTTCTGGCCCTGACAAAAACTAGTTCCCAATCCACTTCACAGGCTACTTCTGTCAACTATTTAATATCAACCCTTCCCCACATGTACCACTCCAGTTCTGTACAAAGTATTAGCAGGCGACACGAAGCCGCTTTTCCAACTATAAAAGGCCTCCATCACACATTCTTAGGCACTGGTGCATCTTCTTTTGCTCCTTAAACAATTCACATTTGCTTTACATGTTAAGGTCTGCAAATACTTTGTGGTCTTTTGAAAACTGCAAATGGTCCTACCTTAAAAACTCTGCTCGGAAGTGTTCCCCTGGCTGTGTCACTGCACATGTCAGGAGCCACCCCAATCACCTCAGGTGCCACTCAGGAAGACTCCAGCTGAAACACACTCATAAATGAACCAGCTTTATCAAGATTGCAGATGGAGAGATGGATCTCACCTCCACTTCCTTCGAATTTCCTGGCTGCATTAACATCCCCACCTTCCCAAATACATCCTACCACTATACAGAATCCAGGGGGTTTTCAGCTTGCCTCTGATAAATCAGTGCTTCAAAACCAAAGTTTTGAAGATCTGTTGCGCATGACACTTGCCTTTGGTATTCAAACTCTATTTCTTTTCTTGCACACAGTTCACCAGGTCTAACATTAATGTTTTGAATTGGCTGCAAATTTTCCCCTTCTAAAACATGTGTTCTTCTCAAAAGGAGCCTCATAATGTCCATACATCAGTGTTTGTTTGCTTTTTTATGTCAAATGTAAATTGGGAAGCTGATATACACTGACTACTTTGGCCATTCCCAACAATTACATTTGTTATTCCTAACACGCCTTTTCAGTGGGTGTAGAATTTGCCTTTTTTTGCAGGTTACTATTTCTTCTATTCTCTCCTTTCTGTCTTCTCTCAGTTGCCATCCTTGCCCTTTTTATGGCAGAACTCTTCATCTTCAAACCAATCACCTACATGCTTTTTCTTTTGTGTCCTGCTCTGGCTGTCTGTAGCTCTTTCTGATCTAGTGAGCCACAGGGAGAGGGAAGAAAGCCCTTGATACTCTCAGAAGCAGCACTGCTTATGCTTGCTGCACTGGGACAGGAGGGACACACCTCCCCTCATGCCCTCACGGTCACAGCACCACCTCACCTCCTGCTGCAACTTAAGCACAGCTCCAAGAACCAGAGAGGGGCAGGCCTCAGCCAGCCTCACTGCCAGGTCACTGAAGGCAAGAAAGCAACCTTCAGCTCAATACCAATCAAGTCTCTATTTTTTAAACTGGAAGGCAGAAGGAAAGCCACCCACTCTTTCTTCCAGTGAAAGAGAAAACCGATTTTATTATATTAAGTTCAGGAGATGGGCCAAAGAAGGGGACATGGCTCCTAGGCTGCAGCACTCTCACTGACAATAATGTTCTACAAGAAAAAACACCTTCAAAACTTCTTTTAAGTTTTTCTTTCAGAGACTGAGCAAGAGTATGTGTATGCACAGATACACATACATGGCTAATGAGCAAGTTCAGGGTAGAAAGGACAGTGGTAATTCCTTTATACACTCTGTCATTTGCATTCTAAATGAGTGCCAACATACCTCTGTAACATGCACTGTATACCTCTGTAACATGCACTGTACGGGTAATCAACTTTTTCAATTATATAAGAGTGTGGCTGATTTTTTTTTTTGATTTCTAAGAACTAAAGTTTAACTTCTGATTAAGTTTTTTAATAAAAGATCCTAATATTTCCAATTTGGTTAGTTGCATAATTTCTTTTTATACTAATTATTTAATTAAACAAAACCAAATCTAATGCAAAATGGAAAGTTAATTTTTACAACCCAGACAGGTGGAATTTTCAAAAGCAATTTTATCAGAAGTTATGTTTCCAAGATCCTTTAAAGATTTTCATTACCCTTGATCTTAGAAAACATTTGCTGTTGTGCCCTCTAGTGCTCATGTCTATTTAAGTCTTATATACAAACCTGTTTTTGGAAACCTACCACCATATAAATGGTCCTATTGAAATAAAATTACTCACTTATTGCAATACTACCAGTGATCTAAACAGTTCCTTCTGTTGTTTCTCAGGTATGTATAACACCCATGCAGTTATCTGAAAGGTAAGACTCTTCAGGTTACTTTTCATTTTACCAAACCAATGTAAGCAAGTTTTCTTTCTCGGTTCTGGACCGTATAATGGAGTTTGAAGTGCACAAATTGTAGCTGACTTCTGGGTTTATTACTAAAACATTTTCACTACTAGCTAAAGCTGTTAGTTAGCCACATATAAAACTACAAGTTTTCACAGTATTTACAGGTTTTCATTCACATTAAAAGCTCTTCTACTTAATGCAATTAATTTTGCCTCCAGTGATGCAGTTTGTTACAGCATTGTGCATGCTTACATTTAAAACAATGGGTTAACATACTACATCTGTAATTACTCCCAAGCTACCAGAAAACCAGTGAATTAAATTTATTTAGTGTTAAATGGATATGGAATGTCATACAGTACATGTAAAGACACTTCAAGATGAGTAAAGCAGAACTAATTGCACAAGGGATTAAAGGTTCACCTCAACAGTCAGTATTATCAAATCATTACAGCTTCCATCTTCAGAGTGCAAGGTATGTCATGCAAAAAAACAGCTCAAAAAATCCCCAAACAGACAAAACCAACATTGTGGTACCACTTAAAATGCTATCATACCACAACATTTTACAAGACATTAGGTGATCATTCATATAGAATGAAGCATTTTAGCAATAACAAAAAAGTTTTAAACATAATTAACAGATTTTGCATGAACACAAATTCCAGCATTACTATACCTAAGGAACAGGCAACATGCTGGGAGAAAGTACCTAAAAATCAATGCCTTTTTTATTCATAGCCAATATTACCTTCTGCAAGAATTCTGCAATCTTATTCAGTTTCCTTACATAACCGGGTAAGGTTCAATACATTTTTACATAGAGCATAATCACATAACCACCACATCAGCAAGAGGATTTCATTATCTTGATCAGTTACTACATTTAAAACCATGGTAAAATAACATGCCCGGCAAACAAATTGTCTTCTGGGACAGTGTTCTGTATGTAGAAATATTAAACAACTAAAATATACTCCTACCCACTTTAACCCCAAGTAACTTATTATTTGTATTTACATATTTTTGAAATATGTAGGTAAAAACTGCAGATGGCAGGAAAGCAGAACACACAGAGAGCTATGACAGCGCTGACAGAGCGGGTGGCGCAGCCAGGAGCCCCCAGTGACACCTGGGCAGGGGCTGCACTTTCTGCACTCTTGCTCTACCCAAGGGGCCTCAGCAGGGCTACCAAAGGCAGCAGCTGCTGTGGCAGGGCTGCTCCTCCCCTCCCAGCTGGCTGAGCTGGGAGCAGAAGGCGCAGCCCCAGCAGCTCCACTCAGCTGAAAGCAGACAAACACACCCCTACACACCTGCTTCAACCACAGCTTCAGTGTTAACATGGACGAGACACAGGAGATGAGAGGATGGCTTTTAACATTTCCACCTTGCAATGCTCTTATTCTGATTAATCTACCAAAACAGGTAGATTAATCTACCAAAAAAAGCATACAAAAAAGGCCAAGTTGTTTGCCCTCATATTAGGAATAAACTAACTTCCTGGCTTAAATGTAAGCAAGAGAAACTCAAGAAAGAACTTCTTGAGGTTAATTTTCCATCTAAATTCAAAGAAAATAATTTACTAAAACTGTAACTTGCAAGGTCTACTAGCCTTGAAGTGAGCATACAGGTTAACTATACCTATAGTTAAATAAAAAACTTCAGAAGGCATTTTACGGAAATAAAATATGCAACTCTAGGAAGTAGGTGGAAAACCACTTTAGTATTTGTCTGGAACATTCTATTTTCATAGCCCATCATTCTCAGGAATGTATATTTCATAAATAAAAATACAGAACAAAAATTTGTGTATTCAATCTAAATACTGAATGTTGGATATTTCTAAGCCTCTTCAGATAAAATTTGCTTTCTCCCCCACAATTAAGTGATAAAACCTGAAAAAATTGACTTTTCAAATCTATCTTGCATGAGAAAACACAGATGAACAAACCAACATCTGGAAAGAAGATTTTGTACAAGATTGCAGTTCTAAAACACTTATATTACAAAGCAATGTAAATAAATACCAGGCTAGTACAAAAGCTCTTATTTACAGTTTTACAAATGAAAACGTTTTCAGTGTAAATGCAGTGTTTTAAAGAACACAATATTAGTAAAATGAGTTCCTGTATAGACCGTTACAATTTCTGCTAGGTTTGAATGCAGTATTGTATAAAATCATTGTTTCAAGTTAATTTTTGTTTATAATTTAGTACAGCCAAACCCCAGTTTATGCCTGGAATGGTATCTGTTAAAGTGCTGAAAAAGAGGACATTTCTGAAATTTTAGAAAAACATACTGTACATTATTAAAGCTTTATCAAGTCAAAACTGGTGTATTTTGTTCACATTTGCTACCACACCACCTAGGAATGGGAAGTTTTTCAACAAGAAGTTGCTATTTTTGGGATGGCAGCCATTGCTATCTTCGCATCTGAAGTTTGATGGTTTCCCACAAGTAACTCGTCTTAAGCTTCAGTGGTGGCTTCAGGTTTCATAATCTGGTAAGTAATCAAGTATTCTGGATAAGCCTGGAAAAGTGACAAACACATTGTTTTTTACTATTTGATTCTCTGGATGAATTAATAATGTTTGTTAAGGAGGAGATAAAATTACCACCAAAGGACAAAAGGGCAAAACGCCAAAGGTAAAAATCCCTGGATCATTCAGGAAGCGTGCATCCTTTCACCTGCAACCCCAGCTGGAGTTTGTTTAAAAACAAAATCAAGCCCTAGCACCCACAAACCTAGGGAAAAAGCCCCCAATGCATGACATGCCTTGGAAAAGACAAAAGAGAGTCTATAAAACCAACCCAAAAGCTCTTTACCTGCTCTCCTCTGTAAATGACGTATTCTGCCAATGCCAGTCCGTTGACACTGGGCCGCCCGGTCACTGAGTGATGTCCTGGGGGAGAATGAGCCATTTTCATGGCACTGAACTGCAGGAAGGACTTGCCCAATGTTACACGACAGAACAGCAACTGCCTGTGTTGAAAGGGAAAAAGGACCATGAATGCACAATGCTTATGACTCTGAACCTTGAAGCCAATTCAGCTTTCATAGCTCATAAATTTCTCAGATTCTGTTCTGCTGAACAAAAGTTGCACTCACTTTGGGAAGCTCTAGTCCAAGGAAAGGGTTGGTAGTAATATGGAAAAATGTTTATTTAAGTTACTGGAAACAGCATGTTTAACAATATACTCAGAGACTGCCACCACCTTTTCTTTGTTACTTATTTTAAAATTTTGGGCTTTTTAGGAAAAAGTTTTTTATCCCCTCCCCCCATTACTCATCCTGACAACATAATTCACAAGTGTTCTAATGTTAGATTTGTATCCAACAGCCAAGTCAACATCAAGGCCAAGGCAAACTCTAGGTCCATGCAAAACACCTCAGACTAGCATTTACCAGTTTGTAATGCTGTTTTCACTATTAAAAGACTCAACAAAGGCTCTTATTTCTGTACACATGTACCTACTGCAATGACAATGGAATCCTGGCATTTTTATCACCTCACTTTGCCAGAACTTTTGCTTTTCTCACTCTTTGCAGAAGACAAACTAAAAATCCCTTCTTATTCAAAACTTTAAAAGGCATGAAGAGACTCTGGCATCCTCTGTAACTCTGGAAGAAGATCCTCATTATTTGAGAGTCCCAGAAAAGAGTAAGCAACATGAAAAGGAGGAGAGACTCAAAGGAGGATCCTGGAAGGATAACTTTATCCTTGTATACCAATGTAAAAGATGATGTACACAAACACTAGATATTCTTCTGGCTGAAATGACTGCCACCACCAAAACGGACTCCATGACCTAAGAGTTTATTCTGAACTGATGGTGTTGCTAACAGATGTTCTTGTTGAAAAGTGGATTCAAGAACTCAGTTGGTGGCAGCACCCACAAATCCACATCTCTATTTCAGAATGTGAAAAAGCAGTGATGTGCGGTGAGTGCTGACTGTTACAAAGTACATCCTCCTCAAAGAAATACTGCATCTGAATATCTCTGAATTTCTCCTTCCTCTGTAACAGACAAAGAACTAAACTGTCAAACTGCCTCTTTCACATAAGCATCTAGCAGATCCTCTTCATTCTCTGGCTTCCTAAGTCTGATTTTTACACTAAGTTAAGGGCAAAGATGTGGTTAAATGCACTTAAGATGGTCGAAAGTTCTTTAGGACTTTGAAATGTCAAAGTTTTCTGAAAGTTTCTATTAGGCCCAGCACACAGAGAGTACTGAGAAAGTCTGGTTAGCAAGCAAACCTCTCTTCAGAGAGAAACTGCTGCATTGATAATCTAGGACTCAATATGCTAAAGAAAAATCAGATGCTTTCAAGGGACTTACCTGTGGCAAACATAGCAAGATCTATCTTTGTGGATTGGACATCCAGTGCCACCTCCAATTCCATACACATACTGATTGCTTTTGGAAGAATTTTCAGCAAAATAAATCCCAGCTCCAAACATGCCGCCTATATAGGCATGTCTCTCATCAAAGCCTTTGTGAATGATTGCATTCACAAACGGGGAACCTAAGAGAAAGGAAGTAAAACACTGAAAACACTTTTGTATGTGTCACAATTCAATCACTCGTTCCCAGTGTGTAGCCCTCCTTGTGAACATGCACTGTGAACTTTGCTCACCAGGACAAACTCTGTATTTGTGTCCAGGAAAGGCTTCAACTGGCTTTACCTTGCTAATGATAAGCTATCTTTGGAATGTTTAACAAAACTAAGTTATCAACTTATAAAACCAAGAAAACAAACAAAAAAAGTCCCACCCCAAAACAATCCTTAACAGAATAAAGTTTGACCTTTAATCATTTTGGTCATACAGCTGAAAAACAGACTCAAGGAGGCACACAACTTAACTTTCATTCATAATTACTGAAATGTTTTCACTTAGATCTTTGAAGTCTCCTTTGGGGAGAGACAAGGAGGTGCAAATTTCAGAAGAACAGTACATTGCATGCTATCATCCCTTGTGAAATACACAAACACTTGTTCATAAAAAACTCATGTAAAACCTGGAACCTACTTTCACTGAGGAAATTTACTTTGAGACAGCAGAAACCCTCCAATAAAGAGTGGTGCTGATGAAATAAGTTCATAAAGTACATTTCAAATTCTCACCATGAAACAGCATCCTTTCATTGGCATGGTTATGGTTCTCTTCAGAGACCTCTTTCCTTCTGTGTGTGTATCTTTCCCAGAGTTTTTTGTTGCACACTTTCTGAATCTGAAACAGTCAAAATGACACCAAAAATCTCAGTTCACTTCACTGGACAGATAATCTATAGCCACTACAGTACAGTTACACTGCCACTGCAATGAGAATATTTTTTCTTGGGACTCAATGAAACACAAATTGAGTTACCCTGCACAAACTGATTGTTGTTTTATGACAAGTAATAACTTTATACTTAAGAATCAATTCATTTTACAGAGCTCTGTGTTAATAATCCTTAAATTAAATATGCTCTAATTAAAATTTAACAGGTTCAGTCACAATTTTTCTTGATGCCAAATCACTAGTAAAAAGATCAATCAATAAATTAAGAAATGCCTTCCATGAAGATTTGTGAAGCATTTCTAAAAGTAAATGACATACTCCCTGCAGAGGTATGCTGGGCATTGCAAAATCTTGTGCATGCAGATATAGCACAGCAATTCCACTGCAACTTCAGTTAAGAATTAAACTTAGTAGTACTTACTTGCAAATCAAAATATTTATGATACTAATGAAAATTACCATTACTTCAGAAGGAAAGCCACATAAATACAAACCAAAATTCCATTAGATTATTTAAACTCATCTACTGCCTGTTTTTTTACACTTGTTTGATGTTAAATCAAGCCAAAATAAGAGTTCAAAAGTTGTGCCTTTCTTTATTCCCTTTCTTTTCTGCCTCAAAAGACACCCTCTTCTGTTTCTTATAAAACCTCCTGCCTTTTTCTTCAAAAATTCTCCAGTTTTCAGTGACATTTTTCTATGTCAATTTCTTCCTGACTATTAACTTATAAATAGCTTCTCCGTATAAATTAAGTCTTTGAATTTCCCTGGAAAGTGATTTTTATCCTCTGCAGATCTCAGAATGGCACATCTTGTCACTTTATGGAACTCAAGTGTAGAACACTTTACAGATATGTTACTTTAAGACAAAGCTCCAAACGTGTAAAACCACTGGCCACAAAAAACTCAGGCACCTTTAAGATGTTGTATCTATTGAAGACTCCACCAGCATGTCCTCCATCTCTGTGCTCTCGGACAGTACTCTGCATCTGAAAATGGAGAATTTAAAGAGGATGACATTCCTGCAGAAGATCTCCAACACGTTTCCTTTACACAAGTCAAGTAACGAAAATAATGAATTATGTATTAACACAATTAAAAATCATAAGAGAAATTTTTAGGTGACTCGTCATTAAGTAATGTCAGATTTTGTGAATACACATGAATATGTTTAATGATTAAAAAAAAAAAACCAAAACAGTATTTTGACTGCTCCATGGTCTAGTCTTCAAACTGGAGAAGATTGTCACTAATCTCTTTAAAATTGTACTTGTTCAGAATTTTGCCTTGTGTGATTACGGCACTTTGGAGGAAGTGATGTAAAACTGTCTATGACAAACAGGCAATCAATTGGTAGCAGAGAACTTGTTATCTTGAAGATATTTGATATATGGTACAGGTTCTAAAAATACTACAAGCAATAATAATGTAAGAAAGAAAAAAGTTACAGACATCATGACCACAGGTTATAAGTGGTGCAGTCAAAGCTGGGAGTCTGAAGTATCCTTCTGCAGGTTTTACTTAAACTTAGTGATGTTTACTGCACAGTTAAACTGTCTAGCAATGCTTCCTTATCTGCTTCTTTAGCAGCAATAGCAAAAATACTGAGAGAATACAAAGAATGGCATTTACCTCTTCTTCTACAGACTGAAATTCCTTGTCTTCGGTGGAAAGGTCTATGAGAATAGTTCCACTAGCAGAAGTATTTAGAGTCAGGTATGGGTTCAGTCCTGTGAATGCAATAAAACACAGCAAAATGTATGTGAATCTAATAAAACAGAGTGTCAGAAACCACAACTGTTTTCTCTCATCTGTGGACACTGATCCTTGTCTCAGCAAGAATCATCATTTCAGATGCACTAACCCATTTATCCATGCTTAGCTCAGTATACTAATACACACAACAGGGGAAATACTTGTAAACACTGCTTACTTCAGAAGTCATTTCAACTCCAGGCAGTGACACAGTGAGCAACCAGTCCCTGTACAGTCCACAACTACTGGTGGCAGTGGCATCATGAATGGGAAGAGCAACCTGAAGCACTAATTTGGTAGGAGTATTTTTCCCATGGTCATGCACAGAGAACTGACAAAGAACTAAGTCTGTCAATCCAACATGCTTGAGCCTGGTATTGAAAGCTTAAAAGATACTGAATGTTTAAAAAAAAACTTCTCTATCTTTCCAAATATGAAAAAAAATTGGAATTTTACACAGAATCCAATGTCAGTTTGCACTGGATAAACTGCAATCACAACTGGTAAGTAATGGGAGCGTAATTACTGGACACAAAAATATGAAGACTGCGTGTATCAAGTGTTTTTCCTGGCCATGTCTTTCCAGACAACTAACAAGTGGCCAGAATTAAACATTGGGTCTGCCATGAACTCTTTAAAAGGAATAATCTGGGGGAAGTGGAAATTACAGATTCATGCACAGTCTGGAGCCTCATGTTAGCAGTGTGCAACTGGAATAGTGCTCAGGAGAAACAAAGTGGCAAGAACCAAAATAAAGCTCATCCACTACTAACCTCAAAACAATGGTTATACTTCAGGAAGAGATGCCATATGTACAAATACACACATGTTCAAAAACACATCAGGCCTACTTAAAAGGCAAAGTATACAGTTAGTGGCTATGTAAACTTTGAACTCAAACAAGACACAAGGCCGAAATCACACCTTAAAACTAACTTTTAACCAAATTACTCATGAGTCTGTCCAGAAAGACCTGACAATTACGAGACAATTATCCAGATTCATTTAAATACTTCATTATCAGGGAAAGAATTACCTTAGGGTTGGTTCTTACTGTTTTAAGGAGCAAAAAGTAATTTAGAGCTTGGGATAGTGACTCATTACTATGGACTGAAAATTTCAGAATGAGATTTCACAAATGGTGAATCAGGAAGGGAGAAAATCCTACCAATTCTAATTTATTTCATTTCTGTGAAACATAGCAATACAACAGTAAGTGATATTTCAAGGAGTCAAAGAAGAAAAACAGATTTGGAGGGTTTTATTTGCCTTCTCTGCAGCCATAGTTAAATGAAGCATACTGAATGATGATGAATTCACAACTGCTGGGACTGTGCTGGTATCAAGAGTCCTGCACAACTAAAGAGGCTTTAGCACTAATTTCAATGCAAACTAAAGCTGTTGAAAAAAGCAATTAGGTTAATTTTGGTTCACTGAAAGCACACCAACTCTATTTTTAAAGAAAAGTGTAAGAATTTCAGCTGCTCTCTGAGTGAGCAGACAGCATTCTGTGGCAGGACCCAACAAACAGGACATAATAGGCCTGAACTTGTCAACAGAATGTGCTCTGCCCGTCACAGTGCTCTGATGAAGATAAATATTCCCTATGTCAAGGAGCTTATGAGCATTTTGCACTAAGTCAACACTCTACTTGCATAAACAAAAAAGAGTAACCACAGAGAAAAAAAAATAAAGCAGATAACTGAAAGGCAAGATTCACAGTAATTCACAGCATAAATACAAGTACCCAAGTTTCCAGTCAGAAGACATTCTTACCATTTAAAGTGCCATTTTCTAGGTCAGGTTTTATTACCAATTCTTTTTTAATGAGATACAATTTGGAATAACATAAGTAATTAATAAAAATTGATTATGTAAAGGCAGTATTACGTGATAATTCAAAATAAGCATATACCTTGTTGTCCAGAAATAAGTCTTTCAACTCCTTTGATGATTTTATGCCTATGGCCATAAGCATTAATGCCAATTTCCTTCAATTCTTTGTGTCCCATTTCAACCAATACGTCCAATGTTATCTATAATGAAAGCAAGACCATGTTTTTTGTACCAGAACAAATGCCAGTGACAGTGAAAATATATCTTACAACAGCTGTGAGAAAAAGCAAGTGTGAAAAGAACAGGAACATCAGAGGCTTCACTGTATTATTTTTGTATTTTACTTTTACTCAACTGCTTTCTTCTAACTTTTTGTCTTAAGTAAACATGCTACAAACTACAAACTGTAACTTGCATTGGTTGCAAGTGTTATATATATGTTAATATATACACATCTATTTTAAGATACATTTTTTTAATATAGCAATTAAAAATCCAGTTACAGTCCTCTCCTTCACCCCACTCATTCTGACTGTCACACATTGAAAATCTGTCTTATTACATTATACTAATATACAGTTACTATTTATTCCATTGCTTTCTAGCTCAGACTATGAGGAAATAAATACAACCACTTACCTGCTCTCTCTCAAATATGTCAATTAGATGTTCAAGGCCAAGGTTCCGCACAAACTGATTAATGCTAAAATCTACACCTGAAACTGGGTAAGAAGAAAAACATAATGTACATTCATACCTGTATTGTAAAATAAGGCATACACATCTGTCTGTGGCAACAATGAGAGAGGCAGGAATTCCTGGTCTTTTGCAGATGTAGGTTAAATATTAAATCTCACTAATCAGTAGCAACTAATCTGCTCTTCTACCTCCCTAAGAGCAGTCTTTGCCACAGAACAAGGCAACCAGCTACCAGAAATGCACATTACTACAGAAAATGTATTGACAAGTAAAATGTCATAGAAGTAACCTTTTTAAGATACTTTGATCTAAGAACAGCCTCTTAAAAACCACATAAAGTTTGAAGTAAAATACTGCTTGGTATGCAGCCAAATTTCATTTGACTTCTCTTTTAAAACACAATTCACCATATTGGTTCTGTTCAGAAAAAAAAAAAAAATTAACGGCTCTGTAAGGGGAAAACAGTAAAATCCTATACTGCAAAACCTTCAGACTTCTGTTCCTCATTAATGACATCATAAGGAATCTAACTATTGTGTATGCTATAATACCTCGATGAATGTATGGGAAACTTCACACCTTTGTGTTCTTTTCACCAGTTAAGAAATGCTATTCCCTCCTGAGAAAGCCTCACCTTCTTTTTTCTCCAGAACAGCAGCTCCCTCTGCACAGTTTGTACCAACAACAGAGGGAAGTTCAGAAAAACTACCAGACAAGTTGTCAAGACTACTTGCAGCAGACAGACTGGATGGACTGGATGGAACAGAAGAGAGGGAATCAGCTGCAGAGCTGGTAGTCTGAGACACACTTATAACCTGAGGCTTGTAGCAAGTCGGTAAGGCAGAAGGAGGCATTGCTGCAGTCAGTAACGCACTGACATCGTCTGCCTAAAGAGGAGAAACAACTCATTAAAACAGAGAAACACTTCTGCACAAGATTTTTTCCTAGAATGCACTATCATTATATGAGATTTCGTAAGTACACTGCAAAATAATACTGGGAAAATATGCATTTTACAGTGCAGCTTACAAACGGCCTTTTCTGCCAAAAGCATACATAAAATTGCAAAATGTCTTTTTTTTAATGTAAATTATGTAAAAGGTGTAAAAAGGTAAAGACTTCAGTATTTCTAAAAAAAAATGTAAGGGCAGTTAAACAGAATTAACTTGCTATGACAGAAGCTTCTACTGGCAACCAGAATTTATGAAACAAAATAATTTCTCCAAGTGTAGTTTTGGATTACATTATAATACTTAGAAAGAACACCCCAAGAACTTAACAGACAGATAATTTCTTACATTTATGCTGCTACAAGGTTTACTTATATTTTATTGTCACAATTTTTGTATTAGTCAAACTGTAAGCCCTGAACTCAAAGCATCACATTACAACCATTAATCCATTTTGTTAGCATTCTGAGGTTTTTTCACCCCCAGTCCATACTGAAATAAGATGCCTAAAGCAAGAAATTATTTAAGGAGAGTTTATAAAGCTCTATTGACTTCTCTTGCCAGGCACATACAAACCCCACAGAAACCACAGTATTTTTGATTGTGCATAAGTGGTTGCATTACTGTTTTTTTAAAGGATAGTTTAAAATGAGGTATCACACATAAATAAGTACGGATTTCCCAAGAGGAGCCCCATCACTTACAGTGACCAGGTCCAATGGTGTTTGTCCTTCTTGGTTTTTCAGAGTAGGATCAGCCCCATGTGCCAGTAACAAGGCACAGAGCTGAGTCCTTCCTTTCTGGGCTGCTTCATGAAGTGGTGTGAAAGCCCATTTGTCTGTAGCATTCACACATGCATTGTATTTTATAAGTAAAGCTGCTACATCAACATGCTGGAAAAGTGAAAAACACCTGTTAAATTCCAAGGTACCACAGTGTACTAAAATAATTCAGAACTATTACTGTTATTTCTCTGTAATCAGAATAATTCTGAATGTTCTTAGAATTAATTTAATTATGATTTTAGAAAGTATTAAAGCTAGGTGTTTTCTTCCTCACCAATGACATATCAGCAAAAAGATAAGTAAGATTTGTTCTTTTGTGAAAAAAGGATAGAGTAAAATAAAATTCCAAATCCAGAGGAATCTGAAGGAAAAAAAGCCTGATTCTGAACTTCCAGTTTGGAAAGTTCTCCAACTGTTTTAGTTAAAGAGTTGATTCAAGGACAAAGATACAGGAAGTTCAGAAAAACAACTGCTGTCTCAACAGCATTCATATCAGTGAAAGTGAGATCTTCCTGATAAAATCTGATTGGCACAGGTAAGGAAAGGCATTTTACAGAACACCTTTCAGCCTGCTGGCTTTTTAGGCATTCATGGTCAGAAATTAGCCATGGTTAGAATTTAGCCATTCGTGACTTTACAAGTTTATGAGTCTTTACCTACAACATAAGCTGTGATCTAATTATTCATTCTATGTGTTACAAATAAGATTACACTATAGCTCAACAGCAAAAGCCTTCTACAGAGGCTCAAAATGCTGTCAACGAAATGTATCATTTAAAAAAAATAAATGAAGTCTCGGGAAGTTTGAGCTATTTACCCCGTAAGATGCTGCATTATGCAGAGGAATCAAGCCTCCTTTATCCTGTGCATTCACATCTGCTCCATGCTGCAACAAGTATTCTGCAACCTCCAAATTATTGTAACCAGCTGGAATTGCAGAAAGACAGAACGAATAGAATTACAACACCACCTCCAACAGGCTGTGGAGAAGTTAATAATTAACGTAAATTACTTGAAAGTAAATTAAATTGTCAGTCCCACTGAAGACAGTGCAATACCTATTATGAAGGACAGCATTACCTTAAGAGTATTTGGTATTAAAACCTGTCAATAAACAATAAAAGACCCTCTCTGGCTAGACAGAACAGGAAAATAATTATAGAGTTTGAAACGCAACCCAAAATTAATAAGCATAAGAATCTATTTTTTTTAAAGAAAAGGAACAGAATCCTCCAGCTCGAGGCTACACTACAACTTGTGTAGACATAGAAAGTTCAGGCACAGCAGTTAGAAACCAATCAAACTAGTTCACTAGAGCACTGACCTGCTAAATGTAGCGGTGTAGAATGCCGTCCCTGTGTGTCCCGACAGTTGACATTGTCAGGTGAACAGAGCTTTTTTACTCGAGCCAAACAACCTTTCTTTGCAGCATCTAGGAGAGCTGCATCTCCTCTAAGCAGGTCTTGAATATCAGTATCACCATCTTTAACAAGGTCCAGAGGAGTATTTCCGTCCCTGTTTTTCTTTGTAGGGTCAGCTCCATGCTGTGCACACCAAAAACAGGTGGTAAGTATATTAGTAGAATAAACATGATGCATCTTAGGCATCTAATGCCTTGTTGAGCAAGTATTCTGACACATACTGGAATCCTGCAGAGAGCCTTCCATTTACTGTGGGAAAAAGGCCAACACAGGTATACTAACAGTATCCCTTTTACTAAAAACATTTAACTACAATAATTTAGAAACCACAAATCAATTTCTGAAACTTAAATGGACTTTGAAACTGAACAAGAAAGAAATGTACCTCCATCCAGCATATGTAATACCTGTAACAGGAGTTTGCAAATCTCGTATTTTCCTTTTGCTGCAGCTTCATGCAAGGGAGTGAATTTCCACAAGTCAGCTACGTTGACAACGGCACCATGTTTAACCAACAGCTCTGCGACTTCATAGTGACCGTATGAGCAGGCGTTATGTAAAGGGACAAGTCCTCTGGAAACAATTAGAAGAAGAGAAAAACTCTCTTTAAAAACAGGGTGTTTTTTCAAGAACAATATAAACTTAAAACAAAATGCATCTTTGACCATATCAAACCATATCAAATTATATCCCTACCCCCCCAACAGTCTAATACAGTAGGAACACCTACTGCAGTAAAAACTTAATCAGCAGGGCACTAAAGAGAAGTAAAAGCACAATGCCAGAGAAATTCTTGATGCTCTAATATTAAGTACAGCAAAATGCTTTTGGATAGTCTTAACATCTTCATTCTAAGAGAAGTTTCCATGAAAATAAAAATATGTCTTAAGAAAAATGGGATGCTTATCAGTTAGCAAAATTCAAAAGCTGACAGATATGACCAATTACAATTGCCAAGAAAATATATATTCAAGCATTTACCCCTTATCTTTTGCATGTACATCAGCTCCATGCTGAAGAAGATACTCCACAACAGATACTCTGTTGTATCCAGCTGCAAAATGAAGTGGTGTAGACTGACGTCCTTCAATATCTCTGCAGTTCACACTCTGGACTGTACACAGCTTCTGTGAATTTACCCAAACAAAACATGTGACTATATTAGTGTTGACACTTCTAATTTAGTCACAGAATATTGTTATACACATCTAATTTTGCACAACTGCTTTCAATAAAAAAACAGTATTTTTATAGTCTTTACTTTTTACAGATTTAATCCTGAGGAAAAAATCCACCTGCCCCCATATCCACACCTCTGACTTTCATTAATGCTTTTTATATAAGGCATCTGGAGGTGATGAATATTGTACTGTGCAATCTGTAATAATTGTGCAATACAAAGGATTTAGGATTGATCATAATTCTAAAGCAGTCAGTGAAGGATTGGTTGATTGCTTGCTTTGAGAAATTATACACTGGCATATAATTCTGTGCTACTCTGGCTGGGGTGCAGTTAATTTTCTTCACAGTGGCTGGTATGGGGCTGTGTTTTGGATTTGTGCTGCACACAGGGCTGATAACAGAGGTGATGTTGTCATTGCTGAGCAGGGCTCAGACAGAGCCAAGGCCTTTCGTGCTGCCACGCTGGCCAGGAGGCCGGGGGGAGACACAGCCAGGACAGGTGACCCCAACTGACCAAAGGGCTGCTCCAGAGCAGATGGCATCATGCTCAGTCCATAAGTGGGGGAACAAGGAGGAAAGGAGGAGACATTTGGAGTGATGGAGTTTGTCTTCTGAAGTCACTGTTATCCAAGATGGGGCCCTGCTCTCCTGGGGATGGCTGAACACCTGCCTGCCCATGGGAAGTAGTGAAATAACTCCTTGCTCTGCTTTGCTTGTGTGTGTGGCTTTTGTTTTCTCTATTAAGGTGCCTTAATCTCAGCCCATGAGTTTTCCAGCTTTTACCCTTCTGATTCTCTTCTGATCCTGCTGGGGGGAAATTGACCAAGCATCTGTGTGGGGCTCGGTTGCTGGCAGAGGTTAAACCATGACAAATTCCCTCTTCTTTTTAAGGAGAGGTTTAAGCTTACTTTTACGGTATCCACATCTCCAGCCTTTGCAGCCTCCAGCAACTGTCGATCTGCATCAGAATTACCTAATGGGATACCTTCTGCAAAATAAATGAGATTGCATCACAGGTAAGTGTAGGCAGTTGAAGAAATTTGTTAAGACAGGAAATAACTTGAGTTTTTTAAAAGGGAAATCCTTGAAATACAGTTAACTAATTACCGACAAGTTTTGTCTCTGTTTACTACCTACAACAATAGCTGCTAGAGCTAATGGTGTTTAACCATCAGCTAATGGGAAGTTAACTTCAGCAGCAGGCTTCCTGTATGTTTTGGAATATTGTGGAACCAACAAAGCATTCTTATTTCTGTTTCAGAATTAGACCAGATCAAGCTTATGTATGCATTATAATGTCCAAACCTTACTCTTGAAAATCCACCTACACTGTTGCCTCCACTCACAAATGCAAATCAAACATTTTGTGTTTTAGAAGCTCATTTTCTACTTTCAAGATTCCCCCTACCCTATGTCAGGATTTTAATAAAATTATTCCAGGTGACTATACCCCAAATCTTCATATCTGATTATTCAGACAGTAAATGATATTGTTAAGCAGGAAGTAAAACATCACCTAGTACAGTCTTTCATAGAACATTTTGTTTTTGTTGACTAGTCTTCACTATTATTTGGCAGCACTTGGAACAGCAACTAACACAAAGCACCTCGGTGGATGCTGAATAACCCAGCATACCTTGTAGTAGCTGTTGCACACTTTCAGTCCCCATTTGTAAGGCGGTAAAGCCCTGCAGAGACACGATGGAAGGATCACATCCAGAACTCAGCAGCAACCTGCATGTCTGAAGATGACCACAATGTGCTGCTCTATGAAGAGAGGTCTGGCCAAGATTATCTAACGCATTAACCTAAAAAATAACACAGACAAGAAATACCACCATCAAGTTGGTATTAAGATATTTTCATTGCTGACTGGGAACATTTCACAAGTAGCATCCTTACTCTAATAAAAAGAACATTTTTAGTATATTTCCAAAGGTGATGACATTTCAAACAAAAACAGTTCATAATGTAGCCCCCTTTTAGAGGTATGGGAATAATGCACTGCATTTTTACCATAAACAGGAGTAATTCACTATTTTGCTCCTTGCAGTACAAACTTCAATGCTAACATGCAGAACAGCTTCTACCTTGCATTGGCTTACAGTGGTTTCTCAGACTGAGGGCTTCCTATCTGTTGGTTCAAAGTGTATTCAACAATTTAAAACTCTGCACCTAAACCCTACTTTTATTCCCTACTCTTCCTCTGTTTTTTGAAAACTTCATACAGTCAGGCTACAATCAAATTTCTGTGAGAGAGATTCAACTCAGTCTTGGAGGGTTCAAGCACTAGAGTCTCTCCACATTTTCTTTCTGTGGAAGTTTGAACTAAATACTGTATTATGAATTAACATTTTGTTTTAATTTTACTTTTTACTGCATACATCATCATGTAAAGTCTGTCACACAGCTCAGTTTAGCTTCTTGCTCTTCATATACACCCCTCACTTTTTTTTCTCATGTATTCCATTATTCCTGCTGGACAATGAAACACTGAATAAGACACTTTGAAAGTTTTCCAATCCCAGAGAGAAGTACGTCCTCACTTCTTAAAAACAGGACCAAACCAATGATGATTCTGTAATGTACAGGGCTGTACTGATGGATTGATGGCCTGTAGCTGAAGTCTCCAAATCTAGAACCTTCCAAAACAAACTATTTTACAAAAACTTCCACTCTCATGGTGTGAAAACCTGTATAGTACATGAATGTCAACAGAAGTATGATACTCATACCTTAGCTTCATGTTTCACAACTACTTCAACAACATCATTATGAGCTTTTTCTGATGCCACATGCAGAGGAGTCAAGAAGCTTAAAAACAAAAAAAAAGAATAATTCAAAATGTGTTTTGCAAAATCTTCTAAACAAAAAGTTAAGACCATTCATTTGTAACCACTCACTCTTTTGTTTTTTCATTGATATTGGCTCCTTTCCTCAGCAGCAATTCACATACTTGTTTCCTCTTAGGATATGGAGATGCAGCAGCACAGTGCTGTAAACATGAAAAAGTTTACAATTAACAACCAGCTAATAATATCCAGGTTTTGCTGATCAGTAGGCAGTTAAGAGCTGGTGGCATACAAAGACAACAGAAAAAAAATCCCCAAAACCTGCAGACACTTATTAACTTGGAAGATTCCACGTGGGCTTTTGGATTTACTCTGGTGTTTTCAAGAACCCCCCTTTCTAATAACTGCTGGAAACCATCAAAACAAAGCTAGCACATATAGCTTGCCGTTGCTTAAGGTAAGACTATTCTACAAAACCCAGTCATTTAGACAATCTAACAGGCCTAAATAATTTATGTTAGTCTTAACATCAAGAACAAAATATCAGTCAGTGTTATTTGCTTAGCTAGACACTGTGTGTTCCAGGTTGGTCTGAATTACAGCACTTGACACTGCAGTATTTATTGCTAAACTATTACCTAGTGTGCTTAGGTTAGTCACAATATATACAAAGCCATTAATAGATCCTGAGATATTACCAATGCTGTCTCATGTGTCTGAGGATGCTTGAAGTTCACTGTTTCCAAAGAAAGATGTTTCTTTATACGAGCTACATCTGATTCTCTCGCAGCCTGCAGCAGTGAGTGACCTTTGAATTCATCTTAAAAAACAAAGAAATACATAGCAGAGAGTTACACTCCTTGGCTCAAGAAGGATCAAGAGAATTGCTTCTTTCAGTTGAAAAAAAGGAAATTAATTGTATTCAGCAGACCATGGAGCACACATTTCCAAGTCTGACTCAAGCTATTACATCAATTGACAGAACTTGTTAGTTAAGTCAAAACACTACACAACTTTGGCTTTGTTTCTAAACCAAAGCCAGACACATCCAAACTGGCTGCACAAGATCTGTTTCACTCACCTCTCTGTAGGTTCTACTGTTCACACAGCTACTAACTCAGGCATATAAAAATCTCTACTTCTGACCTATTTCTGGAAAATAATTTCTAGATGCTTTCATGCAGCCTAGTGTAGCATTTACTGACAATTTTTGTAAATATCCCAGAAAGTTATTGTTTCAACTACTCAAGGACAGAATCTGAGTTCACTCTTTTCACTCTTCCAGTTTGTTGGACAAAAATCAATGCCCTTCATCAGTTTTTTTCAACTTTCAGTGATTGTGGCACACTCAAATGTATTCAGCATTCTAAACAGTTACTCTTTTCTTCAAAGAAAAAACTGTGGAATAAAATTTAATATTTCAACACTCTTGATGCAATGACAGGAACAAGTACAGGATATGAAAGTGTACTGGCAAGGTCATGAGGGAAAGCACTTAATAGGGGAAAAGCTACAAAACCCATCACAACCACTTGACTATAAAACTGACAGTAAAAATATTTTAAATGCTTTCATTCAGAAAAATATAGCAGTTTCAAATTATAAACAGTGAAATATACTGTGTTAACACTGCACAATTACGGTTAAAGCATAAGCATGTTCCAAATCTGGTTTCTGGCAGGTCACTGCCTAGGGAATCCAATGACACATTACAAGCTGTAACTGCAGAACTGATCCCACTTGATACTCACATGCTAATCGTTCTTTTAACTGGGGCGTTGGAGCCAAATCAATGGTGCTTTTGTTGTGACAGTTCAACAGTGTTGGGTCAGCACCATAACTTAACAAAAGAGAACATACTTCCACCCTGTTCTTAGAAGCTGCTTCATGCAGAGGGGTGAATTGCCACAGATCCATTGCATTCACACATGCTCCATGCTTGAAAGGGAAAGGGGTAAAAAAAGATGCAATCAAAACCAGGACGTTAGAAAAAGACTATGTTATTAGTTTTAATACAGTAGACTGTTAAAATAAAAATCAATGCTTATATGCAAACTGTTTCCAAGACACTAATTTTCAATCTAACACAACATTTCAGCACATTGTGGTTTTTAATCACCTGGTGTCCCACAGGTACAATCAAAGAATCCAAAGGCTAGCTAGTCTTTTCAGGCTTTTTTCAGAAAGGAAAGGAGCTCTGCTACAGGTCAAATCAGAGAAAGAGAAATATTCACATTCTCCAAATCACCTGTGAACAAGCTCTGGTACTCTGCAGCTCTAGAAAATATCCAGAGTGACCAGATGCACTAAGATAAATACATGTTCTGTGAATAACCCCCAAGACATGAATGCCACGGTATCTCAACTGAGATGGGCACTCAATTTTAATTCAAAACATTTACGTACAAGATTCTGTAAGTAATACTCCTGGATGAGTAATGTATGTGTAATTCTTCTCCAGTAACATTTTGATTATACTTCAAGTTCAGTCTATAAGCAAGTACATGCTCTTAGCCACTGCTTCTCTAAAAGATGTATAGCTTTGCAAAAAGTAATTCAGAATTTCCTAGAGCAGAAATCCAATACAGAACACAACTCTAGCTAAATCGTTAAGACACACAGTAGTGTATAGCCAAAAGCTCATTTGTGGGGCTGTGTCTAGGACCACCACTGTAAAAATTCACTTTACAACTGGCCCCTGAAGTAAAAAAAATCGTGACTATTTATATTTACTGCAATGTAAGTTTATTTCAATAGGTTCTTTTGCAAAATTTTTTGCTAAACAAGTAGAAAGATGCACAGAATTAGTGGGGGACTGAAACACACATAGCAGAACAAGAGCTATTCTCTGAGCAGCCAAATGCCTGGAGTTAGACAACAGAATACTCTCCGTTGTTATAACAATCTTGATTTGCTGTGGCAGCTGAGAATAGGCACAGCTCAAAACTCCTTTGGTGGAGTACACATATCATGCTGCAGCCCACATCTTCAAGCCACTAGTTTAATGTGTATCATACCTATCTTCAAGACTAACATAATCCAGATACACTGCTTCAGTTCCAAGAGTTCCCTTTTGTTAGGAAAACTGACAGGTTTCCCTTTCTTTGGAGTAAAACCTACAATTCAGGGCCAGAACTGATGCTGTAAAGTTAATTTCCTGAAAAGACTGACTGCTCTTTAGTTTTAAAACATTTACTATCTTTACCAGTATTCTTTTTAAACATCTCTTATTGCTCTGTCTTCTAAAATATTCTTCTACTGTCAAACTCAAAAAATTACTCAGCTTGTAGGAGGTTTTTTGGTGCTTCATTTTTTTTTGTTGGGAGTGTAGAAAGATTGAGATAAGCAGTACTTACTTGGTGGTATGAAAATATTCAACTTTGGAGCAGAGTGTTAAAAACAGAAAGCACATTTATAAAGAAAAGAGCTTCCTGGCAAGCAGAAGATTCTGTAGCTCCAGCTTAATAATCATAATCATGTAGAGCAAAAGCAATTTATTATTAAGTTTTGTAAATCTACGTAAAAAATAAAAAAATATGCAACTTGTATTAGTCTATTATAAACTGTTCTTATTTAATAATATGCAATTTGATTTCTTCAAAGACCAACCTTGACTAGAAGCTCTGTTACTTCGTAATGACCGTAGGAACAGGCATTGTGAAGTGGTACGAGGTCTCTACAAAGAAGCAAAAGGATAAGGATGATTAGTTTAGAATACACATATATTAATTTCAAATGCATCTAATACATTGCAACTGGTACTATGCTTCATATTGAACATTTTACAAAAATAATATGACAAATGTTCAAATGAAACTATGGGGAAATAAGAAGCTGAAGAAGAAACCAGAAAATCCCATCAGCATTTATTAGAACAGTAAGCATCTAAAATAATCAGAAGATGAGAAGTGAATTGAATTGTCTCAGTGCAAATGAAATGGTTCCACTCAGACTTGGAACCCTAAGCAGGAAGAACTACCTGCAGGGGATGTTCAGCAGTGACCCTAATTATATCCTTTTTCACAAGAACAACGCTGTAATATCTTCTCCTGTGAAAACTAATCAACTTGCATTTTGGTCACAACAGAAAGTTTAAAGGTTACAGAACAGTCTAAAGTTGGAAATTCTCGGTGGTTAAAACATTATTACTGCTGTTTACTTTACCTCCATTTTTAATGGATTCTGTTTATTCTGAAGAAAGGGAAAAAGGAACCTACCCTTTATCCTTAGCGTGCACATCAGCTCCATGCTGCAGTAAGAGCTGCACTATTTTCACACGGTTATACCCAGCTGCTAAATGCAATGGAGTAGACTGAAACAAGAGAATGCAGAATGAATCAGTAACACAAAATCAAGGTTCAGTTTCTATTAATTTTTTCACAACTTGTTAACAGTACTAAATGATGAAGTCCCTCAAGACTTACAAGCTTAAAAAAATCCCAGGGTGCTTGAATCAGACATTTGATAACTATGTTCATTGTTCACTGACTACTCTTGAAGTCAACATAAACACAAATCCCAAATTTACTCCATCACTAATACAAAGGCCACTTTTGGTTTTTCAGCCTACCATAGCTATAAATACTTTGCTGGCACAAACGATATCCTTGTGAAAGGGGAAGTAGGAAGACCATTAGCAACAATGACTGGTAAACTATGAAGAAGTCTCTCTGCCAATCAGTGAAGTAAGTTTGAAAATTATCAAGAGGGATTGTTATCCACGTTTGTGAATGCAGTGAGCAGGGTGTGGGGGAAATTTCATCTCTTCTAAACTCTCACCCTCCAGAGAGCAGACAGATAACTAACTGCTCTATGATCTTTTCTAGCAAATGCATTCAAGCATCAGCAGCGCTAAAGGCAGAGCTACAAATGAGTGAGTAGGAATCTTATCCTCTGCATTTACAAACCCACCCACTGAACCCGATTTCTACAGTTCCTAGAGGATGAGCCTCATAACCAGATGAGAAAACAGAGATGCATCGGTGTTCTGGAGATCCCAAAGCTTCACAAAGGGGAAGTAACTAAATCCAAACTTGGGTGAATGAGTACAAATACTTCATGAGAATAGTGATGCCAAAAAGTGATACTCAATAACCTGAACCTTCTGTAGGCCAGGGGCTGAAACCAGAAGACTCAGGATTTTTGAGAATGGAGATTCTGAACATTTTTCTGCCCTTTTTTACTTACAGCAATGAGCAGCTTGCTCCTGCATCAGGAGCAGCAACTTGCCTAAGGGTGCATGTCAAATAAAGCACCTGTGTATTTCTCCCTGACAGGGACACAAATCCGTGCAAAGGCCTCGCTTCTTTATCACTGCATATATGAAGGTCAAGCAGAAGCTTCAACTGAGGAGTTTGCTTATTGATCCTATATAGAATTATTTGCATAGTCCTTTTAAGATTTAAAAAAAAAAACAACCAAAAAAACCCACAAACAAACAAACAAACAAACAAAAAAAACAACCAAAAAACCCCAAAAAAACAACCAAAAAAACCCCTATTAAAAAAGCCCCCAAAAAGCAACCACTAAGCTGGCTGCGGGAGAGGTGGAATCTTATTTTCCCACATACAGTGAAGGAAGTAGATTTTATGTTTAACATTTTTAAAATCTGATCAAACAGTAACCGGATCATGTAAGAGATAACTACTTTTAAATCAATTTTAAACAAAAATACCTTTCTGCCATCACTTGCATGACAGTTAACATTTAATGGTGTAAGAAGAGACATCATCTTTTCCTCATTTCCACTCCTGAAAAACAAGATGTGAAATGAGCAGAAATATTCTTATCCCAATTTTTAGTAGCTTATTCTGGTTTTTTGTGGTAACATTCAACAGATCTGACGCAACACATTCCCCTCTGTATTGTCAGCATTAAAGAGAAAACAAAAATGCCTTTATGGAACTACTTTTGTAGCTTCATTCACAGAAAACAGGCAAAACTTAGCATCTAGATGGAATGCAAGCTCCAAAGACTACATATCTATATATTAATTACACAAAATTCTGCAACTACAACTAATTCCAGTTATTTTCCAAACATACGTACCTGGCACTTTCTAAGAGTTCATCTTTCTTGTATTCACCTAGAAGACAAAAGGGCTTTCTTTAGCTATCAAATAAATATCTGCATGTGAAGTTCACTATTTATCCTCCTCTTCAAAAATTTTAGAGAACGTAAGTGCTAGAATACTTACAAATACTCTTCTCAGTTGTTAAAGAGAGCTTTTAAAAAAGAGGAAGCGTGAGTTTTTACACATGTGGGTATTGATAGGACAAAGGGAAATGTCCTGAAACTGGAAGAGGAGAGATTTAAATTAAATGTTAGGAGGAAATTCTTTACCCAGAGACTAGTGAGGCACTGGAATAGGATGCCCAGAGAAGTTGTAGATTCCCTGCCCCTGGATGTGTTTAAGGCCATGTTGGATGGGGTCTGGGCAGCCTGGTCTAGTCAATGTTCCTGCCCATGACAGGGGGTTGGAATTATGTAATCTTTAGGGTACCTTCCAACCTCAGCTATTCTATGACTCTAAAAATTTGACAGTTCATTATTGAACTAGCTTGATAAACTATCCAGAACACATGCCATGACTGAGATGATGAAAGCCATATGGGAATTCTATTTAGAATTATAAACCAGAGACAAGTTAAAGTAGTATCAAAAAGACAAGCTCCAAACTACTGTGTTACATCAGTTCAACTGTTACTAGTCACAAAGGAATCTAAAGATTATCACTTACCAGTCAGCACTGCTTTTGCAGATGGGTCTGCTAGATCCAAAGCCGTTCTTCCATCGGTGTTCCGGATGGTTGGTTCAGCACCGTGCTGCAACAGTACTGCAAAAATGCCAAAGTTTTCCATGAGAAAACAATTCTACAAGACAAGGTTTATGAGGCATAACATTACTGTCATCTGCAAACAACAAAAGAAACATTCTAACTTCCTTTTTCAAATTTTTCATGTCAGCATTCTGCAATGTCATCTGTGACCAGTGTCTCTGATGAAGTATGTCTAGACACATTTTAAGAGAAAAAAGCAGATCAGAAAGAGAACACAGACAGAACCACAGCCTGACCAGAGACAATCTCTCTTGAAAGCTTGTAACTGACCCACCACAAAACTCAGCTATTTTCCATCAGCTCCAGAGCATGCTGCCCCAAATCCTGTGCTAACCTGCAGACAGCAGTGGCAGGCTGTGCATGCTGCACTCAGGCCAAACAGGCAGTGTTATCTGTACAGCTCTCTTAAAGTAAATGGCAGCAAACCACACAATCAAGAAATGTGTCTCGACTATGTGTCTAACTTTCTACCACCTCCTTAAAGAGTTCCTTTTAAGAACTGTGTAGGTAAAACAGGTAGTCAATATAACTGAAGTTTTCCCATCCTTAACTAATTTAACACAGCTGCTACATATAAGACAGAATTAATCCATTATTAAGATCACTTTTGTTCTTCCCACTGCACTGTGATCCGAAGCAGAAGGCAGCATAAGAGTCTCGGCTGAAATAGAAGAGAATTTAGCTCCATCATGTCACTTTAAAGCACTTTCCCCATGATAAACCTTAATAGGTAGACAATTATAAAAAAAGATCCAAAAACCTGTATCTTGTAACAGTGACATATGAATTGAAGTTTATGAAAGACGTTTACTTTTAACCCTTGTATCAGCCATAGCTCCATAGAGTTAAAGTGGTCTTAAAAGGGTTCTAGATTGTTCACAGTGAAAACAAGTGAGTCAGTCACAGGAAGAGTGGGAGAAAATTACCAATGCAGACATCTGTCTTCCCCTTAATGGCAGCTTCATGAAGGGGAGTGTAATTCCAATTATCTCGAGCATTGGGATCTGCACCGTGCCGCAGGAGCAGATTGACAACCTCAGCGTGGCCGAAGGAGCAGGCGTTGTGCAGAGGAATGAGGCCGCCATCGTCCCGCGCATGGACATTGGCACCACTCTGGAGTAAATACTCAACTACATCCTTCCGACCAAAACCTGCAAGAGGAAAGGGGAGAAAAGGCTTCAGGGTGGGGGAAGAGAAATTCCTGCCCCAGATGTGCAGATTAAACCACCAAACTTCAGTAACCACTCCTTAAGACAATCACAACTGGCATGGTTTGCTAAAGAAACATTTACACACTAAGGATGTTTCTGGAATTCTTAACAATTAGACTGAATTCAGTAGATTAAAGATTACAGAAACAATTAATACCTTGATAGGGTTCCCTCATGTTTCAGCTGTATCTGGCATACTTATACAATGGCAAATGAACTAGGACATCAAACTGTATCTCTATTTGCTTTACTATCTCCATATGAGGCCAGAACCACAGACCCTACAGCAAATTCACTTTTGAGTCTCACCATGGCACTTACCCACCCTGCCTGTCCTAACAGAGAACAGAAGCTCAGAATACTTGGGATGAGAACTGGATCAGACACATGGTCCATGCAAAACCAATTTATCTACACAGGCACAGTAACTCATATTCACTGCACACACAAGCATAGTTCTGCTGCCAAAAAAATTCTTAGTGGCTATACCCATGCAGTCTTATTGTCTATATTACATTATATGCATAATGTTTCTCATTTTTCAATATGTTCAGCTATTCTAAGTCTTATAAATACTGTTATTTTTCTTAATTGTGTCCTGACACTTTTCTTGTTTCCTCAAGCTTTCAAAAAATTCTGTTTATAGTTTGAATATATACACAAAATGTACAAAATTATTCTGTGGAACTACTCAGAAGAGACCTTCACATGTGCAGCAGTCCTGCAAACACATAATCAAAACTGTTATTTGAGTACAAACTGCTTGGTATTTTCTTCTGAGTACCAAGAAATGTTCTTCAGGACTGCTGCAATTATGCTACAAAAGACTCTGATCAAATTCTTTACTACCTATCTGGCAGCTAAACCACTCATTCTGGTACAGAAGAATCCCCACCCCTCAAGGTGTTGATGTAAAGCCATGTTTTTACAGGGAAAATTCCTCACCAGGAATCAACATCATAATTGAAAGTCGGCTGTAGTAAACCTTATTGCAGGCATAGAGAATTCCCTCAGATCCCTCCATTTAATACAGAGGCTCAATGAGACACAATTCATGAGCAATCCACAGCTTCCCTCCCAGCAAAGCCTGCATCTATTCACAAAGTACCTTCAGTACAGCACCACCCCTGTAGCAAATTTACTGTCCATGAAATGACCTCATTTGTATCACACCAATTTTTGTAACTTCTCTCCAGCCCTGAGCGCACAGCAGGGATTCCTTACTTCCTTGGGGAAGCATCTGTACAACAGGGCACCATATATGGAAGGGGAATTATTTTCCCATTGCTTTCTAAAGGATGCATGAGTACAGAGGAAGTGGCCAAACTGCACAATGGTCTCTGCCTCTGCGCTTTCCTGAGCGTGGAAAACAGGGGCAGCCTTTGCTATCAGGGAAGGCAATCACTGCCTACTCTAACAGCTCCTCTTCATCCTTAGCTGGCTGCAGCAAAAACTATTTCAACACTTTAAAAAACCCCAACACTGTAATTTTTAAGAGGTAGGTGTTTTCTTTAGCTCTTGGGCTTTTATCAAGAGACCACCTAAATGGGATCACACCTTTCACTTGTGCAAGGTAATGGACTTATCATCATGAACTCTTTGTTTTAATTGCCAACAAGAAAGGCTGGCTACTCAGGACCCTGAGCTGGCAATCTTCTATCACCTGTGACAGCTGAGCAGCTCACTGCACTTGTTCCCTGGAAAGTTACACATTTTTAGCTGACAATTCATAATTATTAATCATAGATGAAATGTACAACTGCACATAATTTAAAAAAGGTATTTATTTACAATCACAGCGGGTTATAATTGGCATTCAGCTACTTCTGATGGGATAAAAAGCTAACAGAAAGAATTCAGCTCAAATTCTTCTCCCCTGCCTTGGGTGTTCATATATTTTATGAAATTTAGATTGCAGGAAGGGCATTTTAGTACCTGCCAAGTCCTTAAAACCCTGTGATACTTTGAACTTTGACACACACTGTGATGAAAAAGACTGACTTGAGGAAGTAGATGCAGTTTATGATGGGAGAGGATGGAGCCTCTTTTATTATGAAGGATGGTGGGCTCTCGACTAAACCTTCAGGATAACTTAACTATCACACACACAGTTGTGTATTACAAAATCTAAAGAGCAACCTCCAGAAAACTCCAATATGTATTACTTCTGATAATGACACATTTCTAGGAAGAGCCTGAAGCTTTTTTTCTTTTACATCTTTTACTTCAAAATCTGCCTTTACAAACTGACACATGAAAAAAGAGGAATTGGGTTTATTTTTTTAAAAGAATTGTTAAGTAAGATCTGGGAAAAGACTTAAAAAATAGAACCCAAATTCAGACCCAGAATGCCACTAAAAAAGGGCAAGACAAAACACGGTGACATTATGTATTTCAGCTCCAACTCCTCCATAAAAGAAATCTTGAAACTGAATGAAACCAGTCAGAGAAGTTTTGTAATGTATTTTCTAAGAACACCCAGACAACTAGGATAAACAAAGCCACAATAAAACAGATTTTTGCTTTTACTTCCTGGAATGTGACTCTTTCAGAGGCAAAGACAAAAGAAGTGAGTATTATTCCAACTGTGAATAACAGGGGAAAGGCAAAACCAAACAAAACCAGTCAGGCCCAAGTCCAAGACCTACTTATGTCCACCTTTCACACAGAGCCTACTGCAGGTGGGCTGACAACAGCAGAGTTCCACCTGAGGGGAAAAGAGAGTTCCTCAGAGAAATCACACAAGTCTTTTCTGTCCCATTGAACCAGGAACTCCCAGCATCTCCTACAGGCCGCTGAGAGGAGCACTTCATTTCTGTGTAGCAAGTTGGAAGAAGATTCGGGATGATAACAGTGTCTCCCATTTACACACCAACATGTTTAACCTTAGAAATCTAACAACTACACGAACCTACGGCTACACATTTTAAAAGAAAAATCTTTCTACAGATCAGGAGTTATTTAAAGTCAAGACAGATCACGCCTGTTCAGAGAGATAAATCAGATCATTAAAGTGCATGAGAAGCATCTTAGGCAAAAAAACCCCAAACTAACCAAAAGCAAATAAATAAATAAAACCTACCCCTCACTTCTCTCAAATGCTCTAAAACATACACAGTTGTTTAGAAGTTCAGAGTTCATAAGTAGACAGGAAGGATTGCTGCATATAAAAAAATAGTTACAAAAATTTATTTTCCTCTGACAGGATATTTTAAGTTGTCTCCTGAGCTCTCTTGCCAATTAAGCTTCTTGAATTTATTACGTACTGCTGTCCTGAGGAGACTTTCAAGAACCTAGACCTAAGTCTGAGTCAAGCTCTCTTAACATGAGGAAAGGACACCTGAAACCTTTACCAAAACAAGCTAATAAAGAAATAAACATCTTTGTTACTATTCATATTGATTAACTGAAAAGCAGCTGGTGTTTCCTGCAGCCTGTCAGCCCTGGAGTCCTACATCTAAGGCTGTAATTAAACCAAAACAACCAACATGAGAACAGCAGTCACAGTCAGGTCTTTGTCTGAAAAGGTGGGATACAATCTTCTGGCCAGCTGCCAGTGAAAGCAGTTGTCCTGTGACGCCAGGCGTTTGCTTACTCTGTCCTGAATTAACAAAGTCCATTTGTCAAAGATAAGAACGCAAAAAGCTTAGAAACGGTGGTGTCTGACAAACACCTTCACGCGTTCAATTCTAAAAATGCACAGGCCCGCTGAAATCCATGGGAACTGTACGTGGGACATGTGTCCCTGTCAGAGCTCACGTGTCACAACACGAACGGCAGAAACCCCACTCCAGATGCGTCCTCAAAGCCAGATGAGGTTTGTTTTTTTAAAAAAAATAGAAATAAAAGAAAAATGCAATAAGCGAGCAGACACGGCTGTACCGCTCGCTGACCCCTCCGCG